TATCAAAAAATACCACGTTTTGGTCTATGAAATCAAAAACTGAGTTCGGGAGTTAGTTGCGTGTGAGGAAGAATTACACCCCCACAATGCCCAAAATTGGTACCTATTCGATTACCCTATATTTTAAAAAATTTGAAATGTTTAAGTTCTGATTTTTTTATTTAAAAAGCACTATATGCATATTTTGAAAAAGGATGTCGATTTACCAAGACTAATAACAACCACCCCTAAGCAAAAGCGGAAGCTTCGTTATCAGCTACAATAAATGAACATTGCCTTAATAGTTTAAAAATCATGATGTGGGGTTCTAAAAAAGATGTTGATTTACTTCAAGAATCAATAGCTGTCACCCCCGGGAAAAAATGAGAGATACACTACTAACCCCCTAATAAATGAACATTTCCTTATTTTGAAAATAAAATGCAATCAAACAATCGGTCATGGAACTTATTTATACTAAACGGATTAATTAAGACTTCCCTCTTATTTAAAGTGTCAAATTATGAAATTTAAAGAACATAGGGGATTAAACCTAAAAATGTAGGTCTAATATTAATCCAAATCATTTTTAATAAATTATTGAGTCGAATAATCAAAGTGGAACCTCAAGAATAAGCGAGGACCAAATTAAGAATTCCCTTAAATTAAAGGATTGAAATGAAATTAGATCTAAAGTGAAGACTCTAATATTAACCCTAATCAATTTTAATTAATTATTGATTCAAATGATTAAAATGGAACCTCAAGTAAAAGCGATGACCAAATTAAAAATTCTCATAAATTAAAAGACTAAGTTTGAAATTAAGCCTAAAATGGAGGCTCTAATTATTAACTTAATCAATTTTAACCAATTATTGATTCGAATATTGGCGATGACCAAATTAAGAATTTTCCTAAATTAAAGGATTAAGTTTGAAATTAAGAATAAAATGGAAGCTCTAATTATTAACCTAGTCAATTTTAACTAATTATTGATTTGAATGATTAAAATAGAACCTCGAGCAAAAGTGAGGACCAAATTAAAAATTTGTCTAAATTAAAGGACTAAGTTTGAAATTAAATATAAAATGGAGGATTTAATTATTAACCTAATCAATTTTAATCAATTATCGAATATTTATCTAAATTAAAAGCTTTAGGGACTAAATTGAAATGAATCTAAATTTAAAGAGTAAATTCAAAGTTATGGTAACCTAAATTAGGACTAAAATGTTATAAGTTTAAATCCAAGAGTTCTAAAAACCTAAATAGGCTATCAAGGACTAAAATGAACTAAATTAAGATTGCAAGCAAAAATTAAAGGCAATTAACATACATGGAATGGCTAAATTAAAATAATTATGAAATGCAATCAAAAAGCAAACATAGTGACTAATTTGGAACAAAAACAGAATATAAAGTCCAAACAGCAAGAAATTAAAATTGGGAATTAAAGGACTAAAACGTAAACATTTATAATCTAAGGAAGAAATTAAAATAAAAAAATTTAAAAGGTAAAAATTTAAATACAAGAAATTAGTTAATCAATTAAAATTACGAGTTAGAGGGTTAATTTTTAATTGTCACTCGGACCATAAATAACGTGAATCATACCCTAAGACGGGTCATCTTGAGGTCGTAAAATGATTTGAATATATTTTATATACATTAGATGTTATAAGTTAGTGAATTAGCGGTTAAATTAGAATTTTACCCAGACCATGAATAATGTGGATGATACCCCAGAACGGATCACCACAAGTTCATATTAACATTTTATATTATAATTTTAATAGGTAGGGACTAAAATGTAATAAAATATAAAAATAGTAAGCAATTCATAAATAAATAATGACTAAAATAAATAAATTACAACTACCATATCAAATTCATAATAAAATAAAAAACAAAACCAATCAGTGACTAAAATGAAATAATGTAAAAATCGATAACTAATTTCAGATGAGTCAGAGTAGTAAAAATGGTTACTAAATTAAAATAAATATAAACAGGATGTCAAAATCAGAAAAATAAATAAAATAACACACCTAGTGACTAAAATGTAAATAAACAACAAACCTAAGGGGGCCTTATGGTCATTATACCTAATTTAAAAGTATAAATCCTATTTTTTCTATTTTGGGTTAAAATTAACCTAGAACTAAAAAAAATAAACTAAAATAAACCTCTCCCTCCTTTTTTTTCTCTCCAAACTCTTCCCCCCTCTAACTCTCGGCCGAGAGTCCCTAAACACCCATCCCAGGCTCCGACCACTATAAATCTGTGCCCATCCTCTCCGACGCAACACCGAATCGACCTGGGAGGACAAACCGTTTTCCCAAAACGAAGCCAGACCCCCTGGTTTGACCCCCTAATCCTCTCATGCCTTCGAACGAGAGTTTACAATCCCCCTATAAACGCCGTAAAACGGCTTTTGCACACTCCGACCAACACCATCGGTAGTCGGGCTCTAATCCCCAAAACGAAAGAACCCCCAAAACTCCCTAAATAAAGATCTAAAGCCCCGATTTGGGGCCAAAACCTCAAAGACCGCGACCAAAACTAAACTCGACAACACCTCCGGCTCCGGCCAGAAATGCGAACGGCAAAGGGTAAGCCTCTATACTTTCACTCTTTTCTTCTGTTTTGTTTTTTAAAACTCACATGCACACTCCAAAAAAACGAAAGAAGAGGGCCAAGGATACCTTTGAAAAGAAATGTTTTTTTCTTTTTTTTTTCTCAATGGATGTTTTTGGGTTTTATATCACCCATTTGGAGGTTACATCTGTGAAAAAATAAGAAAAAATTACATGTTGATTTCCATTTTGTTTTGTCTTGTGGTTGTTGACGAGGCACCCATCGACTGATTTGGCGCTGATTTGGGGTCTGATTGGAGCCTTGGGAACGTCGTGGCTTGTTGTGGAGGTCAGATTCGAGTTTGGGGCCATTGCCAGGGACTATGTGGCTTCTCACGTGGCCATTGGGATCTCCTGGCATCTGAAAGGCCTGGCTGGCGGCTGACCCTTGTCTAGCTAGGGTTTTGCCAAATTAGTTTCAGGCTATGGGCTGGTTATTAGGCTCGGGTATTGTAATGGTTGGGTTTGAACTTAATTGTTTTCTGGTTTGTTTGTAAAAGACCTTGACATTTACTTTGTTTGGGTTTTATTTGAATAGTTTTATATATATATTTTGGGCTGAAACATAACATAAAATAATAAGAATGGTGATTGGGTTCTAAATGAATATACATTTTAAAATAAATAAAATGAATGAACAAAAAATGGTGATTACAATGATTTGATTTACAAAATTTCAAAAATAATGATAAAAATGAAAAGGAGTAATAGTAAAGTTGTAAGTTGTTTAATTTATCAAAAAAAATATGAAAAGTAATATAATTAATATTTTAGTTTAAATAATTTACCTTTAGATTTTTAAATAATTTATAATTATAAGTCGAGGTTTTTAAAATTTTAATTTTTTATGTATTAAATTAATAGTATTCATTATTAGCGGTGTTCAGCTAGCATTGTAGATTTTTCCTTGGAATAAAACCATAGTTTTTCCAAGTAGGACAATGGATCGGGTTGGGTCGATATTTGGTCAATCTAACTTGAAAAATATAAACACTCCACATGAACTCAATCCAACTCGAAAAATATTTACCCTCGACCCAACTTAACCCAATCCAAAATATATATATCATCCATCTGACTCCTACCCGACTTGAATTTTTAGATTATAAATCTAACCCGATATAAAATAAGGACTTAATTAAAAAATAGGGTAAATTAAACTTTTGACAATTGAACTTTACTCTCTCTCATATTCACTCACTTTACTTTAAATCTTTTCAATTTCCTCACTAAACTTAATATATTGAGTTTTTTTAGTCACTAAATCATTTTCTTACTAACAACGTTATAATGGGTTGTTATATAGATATAAAACGACGTCGTTTTGGTGAAAATTTTATTTTTTTAAATGTGTCGTTTTAACGTCGTTAACTATTTAACGTCAGAATGATAAAAAAAATCTAATGTATTACGTTCAGTGAGGAAATTGAAAACTCTTAAAGTTTAGTGAGCAAAATATGAGAGAGAGTAAAGTTCATTGATGAAATTTGTAATTTACCCAAAAAATAATAGAAAGAAGAGTTATTATAACAATATCTAAAAATTTAGATGAAGAAATTATGCTATTATCCTCTGGTTAGGTAAAGTCATAATTTTTTCACCCTTCACCTAAAGTCAACCCAACCCAATCTTATTCCTTTATAAAATTCAACCCAATCTAAACCTAAAATTCTTTCAAAAAAAAATCTTATCGAATCAAATCAAAATCCCTCAAATTTGAGTTAAATCGTCATCTCTAAACTGTGTAGTGTTTGATATTTCTTCACACTCCAAGTTAAGAGTCAATTAGAATTTAGTAGTTACTTTTTTCGATTCAAATATAGGTAGAAAGAGCATAGGAACAACAAATTTATTCATCCGAACTCCAACATAACTATCTGTATTCTTTCGAGCTCAACTATTTTATCTTGTTAAATAGAATTTAAGGTAAACTAAACTATTAGTATCTAAATTATTATTTTTGTTCTATTTTAGTCACTGAACTATTATTTTTCTTCAAAATCATACCAAACATTATATTATAGTTTTATTTTGATCACCTACCGTTAAAAAAATAACATAATTTCTAACATAATATTTTCTTAATTTTTTTTTCAAAGATGAATGACATTACGCTATAATGACACGTTAACATCACTAATTTTTTTAACGATAGATGACTAAAATAAAATCAAAATGTAACTTTAAATTTGGTTTTAAAACAAAACTAGAACAAAGGAAATAGTTAGGGTACTAAACTTATAGTTTACCCTAGAATTATTCTACTGGGGTTCCAAAGCATTAAATTCAATCAGTACGCTTAGCTATTGCCTAAAAGAGGGCAGAAGGATTATACTAGCATGAATACTGATGTCAAGTACAAATGTAATGAAAATTGAGGCCATAAAACAGCTTAATTTAGGTCTCTTTACTTATAATTTTGAAGATAACAATAAACTACTATAGGTCTCATGCTCCGCTGCAGAGAATGCCATCTACTTACCAAGAAAATCATGGGCGAGGAGTAGATGAACGAATTTCGGAAAATGAAATCCTCTTAAATTACATCCTCTTTCTTTGGCCTATAATTCTAAAAGATAAGGCAACAAAGCAAGAGGTTAATTGAATGGTTGAATTGAGAGCCGATGATCACCCAAGTATGGCGGTCTCTTTGGAACATTGGGCCTGGGAGTCCAGTGCAAAAGCACTCTCCTAGATAGGTTCATCTGCAATTACTTCAAATTAACCAAGCAAGAAACTAAAAACATCAGTAAGCGAGACGACGCCTTCTACACGGTTACTGCCAGCTTCCACAATGACAAGCCGTCGAACACCTGAAATCAGGTTGGGGAATATAATCTCATAGAGTAATATTTTTCAAAATTGTAATACATGATTTATTGACCAAGGCCAATACATGTCTACTAAATATATTGCAATGCTAAATTGAAAAAGAGACCCATCCTTAAAATTGTTATCCTTGTTAAAAAGGGGTTGAGTTTAAAAGGGAAATAGAGAGTCACCAGGGTTCGCCAATTGCTCCATCACTTTAAGCAATGTATCGGTGCGCAAACACATCTGACATCTTTGATTTCTTGTCTCATAAGGAGTGTTGGAATCTTGTCCCAATTGCAATGCCTAAAGAGTAAATAGAGAAGAAAAAATAGTAAACAAGTTTTCAGCAAATAAGAAGATACTGGTTTTCAAACAATAGGATCGGTCGAATCCAAGTAGATGTAGTGTATACTTGGAAATGGAAAATATTCTTTCATTTTTGTAATAAATTCATTTAATCAGAGAAACGCTCAAGCTTTGCTTGATAGGTGGCTAGAAAAAGGGAATGATGAAAAAATTGGAATTGGAGAAAAATGAGAAGTAGAAAACATCTTTTTTTCTTTCCATTGATTTGCTTAGGAAAGATGAAAAACTTGAACATTTTCTTTCCATCAATTGGCTTGATAGAGTTAAAAAAAATGAAAAGACAACAAAAAATTATCATTGATGATTAAAAAGAAAGTGTAAACTTCAACGTGGTCACCTTTTTTCCTCTCCCTCCCCCCCAATCCCACCCCACCCCAACCAACTTCCTCTTAATGTTCTCTCTAGCAAGCACACTCGAAATTAATTCTCTTTCACTTTTCCAACCCTCTCTATCCATTCTTCTAGCTGTCTACCCTACTAAGTTCAACCATGCATTATGCACACCTTTTTTATGGCCATCAACCATGTTCACAGTTAGCATCTTAGCTTCTTCAATGAGATTTACCGATCATGCAATCTTAGGACTTAAAATCAATGTACCAGGTACGAAAGCCAACATCAAAATCCATTGAATTGCAAAGTACAAGTCTAACATGACTATTGTTTGGGACTGAATATTCTAAGAAGAAAGGAAGAGATATTCCAAGCTAGAAAGGGAAATGTCGAATGAAAACAGAACCTAAGTTCTGTTCGTATTTTTTTTAAATAAAAATTAAAAAAAAACAGTCTGCTTTTATAGGCTGCAAATTACAAAAGTAGTATTTAACTAGGTACATTTTCTCAACCTTTATCTCCTAAGAAAACTTATATTCTAAAAAGATAAAACCTAATCCTAAGTAAATTAGAACTCAGAATTGAAGATAAACAACTCCTTGTCTAATAGTTTTTTAAATAACGAAAGCTTTCCACAAAGACTACCAACAAAAATTCAGGAGATAAATCTTAAAATATCCATATCTAAGAATTATCAGCACCAAAACCTCCTAGACACATTCAGCCTCATTTAGGTAGTCAAATGCAAAAAACCATAGATAAGAACAGAAGGCAGAACGTTACCTGATAAATGGTTATTTCATTTAGATTGTGTATATAATCTCTGCCTTTTGCCAAAGCTGTTATATCACTGAAAAAATAGACAACAAAATTATGAACAATTGCCACCATAAATCCAGGCTGACGCTAAGTTCTGCTAGCTAGAAAGATAATCAATGGAGAATGACGCCTTACCTCCGACTATATATGTCCAGTAACGAGTCATTGTCGTCAACTATAGGTATTGAACTTACGCGTGCTGTGAAAACAGGGAAAAAACTTATACCAAAATGCAAAACATAAATATATGATTATCAGTAATCTTATCTGGTTGCATCTTGAGGTATGAAGCTTAATCTGGTTCGTAACTTCAACAAAACCAACATATCTTCTCTTTACTCTGTATACTCTCTTATACCTCCTCTTAAAGTGTTGAGAAAACAGGAAGCATACCTTGAACTAGCATATTTAATGCGGAACTAAGAGAAGCAGTAGGTCTCAGCATCGCAACCGGCCGACTGCTGGATTCTCCAATTCTTGGAACCCATGTACCCAGAGGGATTACATAAATTGGTAATTGTAGTATGGGCAAAGAACCAGAACAATGTTTAAAATACCTGCATAAGCCTAGAAAATCAACACCATTGGTTAGGGAAACCATATACTTGCTAACAAATAAGTAAAAGAATATATATATATATATATATATATATATATATATATAATCAAAAGAACTACTAAAAGGCTCACATTTTAGTATTCCAGAAAGAGAAGCAAGATGTAATAATTGGGAAAATGAACCATCTTCTGAGGTTGAATGGATAACAGGAACTATAGCTACTCCGCTTTGCAAAATTTTCAAAGCTACATCCTTCAAATTATCACATGGCCCAGCCTGCATCATCAACAAGGGCCAATAACACCACTTATAAACACAACTATTAAAAGATGTGCTGACATTCTCAGATGGCAAGAAACGGAGGAAACAAAAGATAAAGCAGAAAGACATGAATCAGAATATATAGCAGAAAGGTATCCAATGATGCAGCCTTCTCAGAACACCAAACAAAATAGAGCATAGTATGTACCATTATGGGACAAAAGAAAGGAAATAACAGGGTGTGTATTTTTCATGAAAACCATTCTACTTGAACTTGGTGAATGTTTTCTAATGAAAACCATTCTTACATGAACATGGCTATCTCATGAGGAGCATTATTATTGATTCTTTTCCATTGCCATCATTAAATAGAATAATCATTACTCAAATGGTTGTAGATTTATTGCTATCATTGCAATAGAACAAGGTTGCCTCAACAGGAGAATAGCTGCACAGAATAACTCCAACCTTGGCCCTCATTTTTCAGCAGGTCCATCATAGACTTCTGGCAGAAATTTTCTTTTTTAACAAGATTGCTAGATAATGTTCTAAGGAACACTTTTTAGCTGTTTTTGGCCTGATTAGTTAAATAATAATGAGATGTGCTTTCCCCAACAGTAAAATTCTTGCAGCTATATAGTACCTAAGCCCTGAATATGATGTGAACTTGTTTTCTCACTTAATATAATTCTTAAAATGCAGCACAACCACGTTGGAAGATGAGCCAAAACAAGGATCTGGCAAGACATCATAGCAGAACAATCATCTAGTTACCCTGGTCACCATCCATACCTAACAGTACACATAGATGATGTATGCTTATGTCAATACTAAAATATAAACATACAGATGGAGAAACAGAGCATGTGCACTTGCATGAAAATAACATCTTTTGTAGTTTATCATCCAAGTCAAACCACTACACAAAGCACTAACATAGATGAGATGTTTTGGAATTGGTCTCCCATGCCCATCAACTTGCCGGTTCATGTATGCCTTTCCCTCTTTCCAAGCAGAAATAGTGTGTGTTTCAAGCTCTTCCTCTGTAAGATTTGATCCATGATTCCCAAGCTGCATGAAGAAAAGTGTAAGCATTAAGAGTACACAGAACGGAAGATCCATATACAAGACAGTTATCTAGTGTTAATATCTTGAAACTTTCTAGTTATTTGGAATTAGAACAAAAAGAAATATCTTGGTAAACGTTGGAAGACTTGCTAGTACAAAAAAAAATGATTCCACATTAGAAGCATACCTCTCTCAAAATCAATATAAAATCTGAAGCACTAAGAACTCCAACAAGCTTCGCCTTGGAAAAGTCCCAAAGCGGAGCCAAAGCAACACCCTGAAAACGGCTAGACTCAGAAAAGATGTATCCAACTTTTTATCAGCAACAAGAAAATATGCATGGATGTTACCGAAAAATACATAATTTCAATAGAGAAACTAGATACATCTGCAGCTAGAAAAGGCTCAAGAAAAATACATAATTTCTACTTCTTTCTTTATTTTTATCTATGTTGGCAGAGTATGTGGCTAGGCAGAACATGTATCTCATCCAACAACTCAGGAAGCATTGAATGAAAATAACTATATTCCCTCCAGTGACATCTCACTAATCCTATCTTATACTGAACTAAACAGATACCTGCTCAGAGAGAATATGAAATGCTTGCTTTACAGGCAAATCAACATCCAAGGCAACGACCTGTAAGGCAAATCTGTCTAAATTAGCAAAGAGGATTACCATGCACCGATCGGAATCAAATATGCAAAGAAATGTGAAAAAGGGTCAATAGGAATACATCCAAACCTTGCCTGACTCAGGTAGTAATTCATAAGCAGTGTGTGATGCCAAGAATATGGAGATGCGGTTGCGGCAGGCCTGTACGTCCTCTTCTGAAATCCTTGGCATTGTTTGGTTCAGTGTTACCGTAGAGATTCGATGCTGCATTGCAGAAAGGTATATCAAAATCCACATACAAAAGAAAGTAAAAGGAAAGAAAAAGTTATTAATGAATGAAAAATATACAAGGTACAAGATGAGCATGCATTAAAAATGAAAATGCAGCAAGCAACAATAATATACAGTGTGCAGAGCTTGCACATGTAACTAGATTTGCGACAACTTAAACTATTGTAAAAAGAATCCAAATCATTAGTCTCCATTTGACATTGCCATTAGAACTGCATTTAACTGCAAATGCATATTCAAAACAAGGTCAAAATTTCAGTAAAAAGAATCTCGATAGCAATGAGTTGTTAGCAATAAAAAAAAGCAAGTTCCTACCTGCTTTTGTGATCTACTTTTTCCATTATGATGAGTTAACTTTTGATACCAATTTTTAAACTCAATCACAAAGCTAAACTAGGCCTTAGACTAAAAATAATTTCAAGAAATAGTAATGCATGAAATTATGGAATATTAACTCTTACCGTGAGACCAGAATCCACATCCATGTTGTTCGGTACATCTAAACGAGATTGCACCTGAGGAACCTGTGCAGGAACAGGCTGAGCGTCAAATGTATTAACTATTCCATAGTCACCATTCTTGTGAGGTTGCCGTTCATCATGTCGCCATTCACCATCAACAAGAAACTTGTACTGCAAGTACAAACCAACAGAAAGCTAAAATATTAGGATTGACATGTTCCACAACAGCTACACAATAAAGCCATCCTAATCTGATCTTATCAATAAGCGTACTTGACATGTTGAACTGATAAAAATTAGCACCAAAGGGGTTAGGAATTGCGCATATTTCTATAAGTTTTGAATTTCCAATTCATATTGGACAATCTAACTAACCTCATGGCAACCATGAGATACGGCACAAACAGCTTGAAAGACATTGGGAGAACCTTCAACCTGCGACATTGGCACGAGCTCGGCCCACCTTAATTTTCAAACCATTAACCATTAATCCAAATATATACAAATCATAAGCCTAAACATCACAATTTTCACATTTAAATTAAAAAATTAAAAGAGAAAATAGAAGTGTCACCTATTGAAAGAGCCAGAAATGAAGACACTTCTCCCACCATGTGGCCATGTAAATTGAATTGGGAACAGCACCATGCCGGCGGTGTTTACTCTACCGGCATCCCTGGCAGGGATCGTATCCGAAGCAAACATTTGGCAGCCGTCTTTAGAGTACAATTAATTATTAAAAGAGTTTCTAGCAACAAGATTCCTTTTTTCAACTTGTCCTTTTAATCACTGAAAAAATGTAACAAAAAATAAAAAAAAGGGGGAGCAAACATCATCTCAAAACCTCGCTTTTTAGTTGATTGTACGGAGCAAACCTAACTACTTGGAAAGATTTTACATGTTGAAAACAAAAACAAAGCCGAATTTGGAACTCGGCGATGGAGGCAAAAAAGATTGCTTTGAATTTTGTGGCAAAAAAATCAGTTAAATGTCGAAACCCTAAAATTGAAATTGGAAAAAAGAAGAAAACAAGTTAAATTATTTGAATTTATAGAACGATCGTAGGGCTTTTCCGATATGATCGAAAATGATATTTTGGGTAAAGTACACAAAGGATCCCGATTATAAAGTTTTACTTTATTAAGTCTAATAACTATTAAAAGATACAAAATGATCATCCAATTATATGATGTTGCTTTGTTGAGTCCCTTGACTATTCAAAGTTACAAAATGGTCACCTGACTATTTACATGTTCCAAACTAGTCCTTTTTGTTGAAAAATAAAAGTCGTTGAGTTGGATGTTAGCATAATGTCTAAGATATGATAGTCGTTTGAGATTTTTGGATAAGATTTTAGCATATCTCAGTCAGCTGAATAACGCCTAACTTAGACTATCATCATTTTCTAATGAAAAAGGATGAGTTTGAAACATATGAGTAGTCAGGTGACCATTTTATATCATTTAATAGTCGGGGGATTCAACAAAGCAACGTCCTATAATCGAATGACCATTTTGTAAATTTTAATAGTTGAAAGACTCAATAAAACAATACTCTATAATTGAGAGACTATTTGTATACTTTACTCTTATTTTTTTATACTTTCTTTTTAATTTGGAGAAACCTAATATAAAATTGAGGGTATGAGGGGACGTTGAATGGTAATTATAGGCTTTGCTTGGGGAAAAATGAGATTTCGAAGTTGATGGACATTTCTTTTCGGATAAAATCCCATATCATTCAATTGTATATATAATTTAAATGAAAGTAATTATAAATTTAGCGTAATACAACATCTTTAGTTATAATAGGTAAAAGATAAGAGGGACGTTCAAACTTTGGCTTAATATCTAAATAAGTGATCAAACTATACTCTTTTTGTTTGAATGGTGCTAAAAGTATTTTTTTGAATCATCCAGGCGTCGTTACGTCTTTTTTGATGAACGAATAAGTTTTTGATAAAAACCTTGAATTTATGATTTATTTGGAAAAATTTATTTTTTTGTTTATTTTGATTAAATTGAGTAGGAGTCGCAATTGACATTTGGGTTAGGTAGGTCGAATAGCTAAAAACGCCTTTTAAAACAATTTTAAGAAAAATTGTTTTTAAGACGAAAAAAACTGGTCTGCGCTTATCAAAGATTCATTTTAGGTTTGAGAGTCGATTACGCGTGGGGAAGCGTAAGCACCCTCATCACGTCCAAAATCGGTACTTAATCGCTTGTATGTTGTCGTGGTGGAAATTTAAAAATCGAATCAATATTTAAAGTGTGATCCTTTTATTGAATATTAATTAACTTATTTCGAATTAATTATTAGGGAACATTCCTTAATTTGAAAAGAAATCACGGGATCTACACATCCTCCAATGGGAAGGATATCTCATATATTTCTCTTTTATACAAGAAATGTACCCCTCCCCAAAGTTAGCATAAATCGAATATAAAATAAACATCGTAAATTTCAAAAAATAATTTACTATTTAAAGAAACATGCATTGCTATTATTTAAATTAAAATAAAAATGAATTAATCATTATTTATAAAAACAAACTCGATTTATTTCAAATTCATTTTCGTTCGAATATCGTATCGAATCGCACTACTTCGATCAAGTTGTGTTTTTCGCGCCCATTCTACGATAGAGTGTTCTTGAAAATCTTCAGATAAAAGAATATATTGTCTAGTGGATATTTTATAAATTAATATAAAATAAATGAGATAAGATAAAATATAGTACTATCACATATATTCAAGGGTTGAGAATATTAGATATATACATATACATCTATAACATGATATAATATATACATACATAAATAACACTAACAAATATAAAATGTCCATACATGGTAAAAAATGAAAGGAAACAAAATCTAACTATGCAAGAATTAAATTATAGGGACTAAATAAAATAAACAAAAACTAAAGTGCAATAATTAAAGGACTAAAATTAAATTACTGAATAAAGAGGGACATAAATAAAAGAACAAAAAATTGAAGAAAATAAAATGCAATGACTAAAATTAAATAAAGAAAAAAGGCATAAATTTAAAGGTGCATAAAATTAAATAACAGAAATAAAAAGTGCAATAAAAATAAAATGTTATTGTTAATTTTAATTTTTAACCCATACCATAAATAATGCGAGTCGTACCCCGGGCGGGTTGTCGCAAGGTCGTACTATGGCTCGAATATAAAATAAATAAATAAATAAATAATAAATAATAAATTAGCGGTTAGCGATTAGTGGTTTGATGTTAATAGAGTCCAGAACATAATAATGTGTATCATACTCTGGATCGGGTCACCACAAGGTCGATTCAAATAATAGCAATAAATAAACAAATATAAAAGTGCTTAATATGCAAGAAAATAAAAATCAATGGTTAATTCAAAATAAATAAAAGAATAATTAAATGATTAAATTAAAATGAAACAAAATAGAGGGTCAAAATCATAACAAATAAAACAAAATAATACATAGTGACTAATATGTAAAAACACTCATAACTTAGGGGATTATTTCATGATTTTTCCTAAGTTAAGTGACTAGAATGCAAAGAGACTCTAAACAACTGAGGATCTAAGAGTAATTTAACCCTGGAATAGTGACTAAAATATAAATAGGCGCCTAAAGTATGGGAATCTAAACGTAATTAACCCTTAATTTTGGTGATAAAAGCATGAAGTACATTAGAAATGGAGGACTTGGTGCATGATTTACCTAAAAGTTTAAAACAAACAACCCTATTTAGAATCTAGAAACACGTGAAAACCAAAAAAAAAATTTCTTCCCCCCTCTCTCGTTCATTTTCTCTTCTTTTCCTCCCAACTCACCATGTTCGGCCACTCCCCTAAGGACCCGAGGCAACGTCACCAGTCACCGGGCTTAAGGCCACTGCTCAAACCCCGACGAACGGCCAAAGGTGGGCCACCAAACAAAGGTAAACATTAACCCATACCTTACTTTGCTTGTCTTTGTTTTGAATAGAAGTAAAAAAGGTTTTAAAATTCAAGAATACCTTCAAAAAATTCTCTATTGCTTCTGATAGTTTCGAATATGTGGGTTATACAAAATGCTCTATCTTTTTTCATAAAGAAACGAAAATGGGGTCCCTTCTACACTGATATCTTGGGTTTTTTATAACCCATTTACATATATAAAATAACGGAATTTTTTTTGTTGATGCAGTTGGTGGCGGTAGGTGACCGGCGGGTAAGGTGGATACAGGCAGCAGCAACCAAGCATAGGGGCATGGGGTAGGAGCAATAACAGCCGAGGCATTCAATGCCCCAAATATTAAGGGATTACAACTGCCCATCTTTGTTCATTATTGTGAAATAGAAATAGAGCAAAGACATGAAGCACCAATTTTTATCCAACCCACCACTTTAAATCTCTGATATCCAAACTCTTCACTTTTTCAGCAAAAGGTTTAACTCATTCTTTGATGGAATCAAACAAAACTTTGATGTTGATCCACCTCATTCTTTGATGAATATGAATAAAAGGTCGAACAAGTTCTTCTTATTATGAACTTTTCATTGGAAATGATGATCCACCTCATTCTATGATGGATTTGGATTTTTCCAAAACTTGAGATGTTGACTAATTCTTTGCTGAACTCTTGTTCTTCAACATGGAATTGTGAAACCAAGTATTTTCTAGCTTTGAATTCCTGTAGAATAATTGAGTGGAAAGAAATTTGTTTCAAGAGAAGCTATCTCAGATGAGATAAAGTTTTGTTTATAGGAAAACAATCTCAAGTGAAATCAATTTTGTTTCAAGTGAAACAATTTCAAAATTGTTATTTCTAGGAGAAACTGTCGAAAGTGAGACGAAATTTGTTTTTATTAAAAACAATATCAAATGTTAATGTCTTAAGGAAATCTGTCTCAAATGAGACAAATTTTTTTTGAGAAAAATAATCTCAAGTGAGATCAATTTTTTTTCAAGTGAAACAAATTCAAAATTTGCATCTCAAGGGAAAATTATCTCAAGCGAGACAAAATTTATTTTTGGAAAATAATCTCAAAGGATTGTGTTTTAAGAGAAATTGTCTCAAGCGAGACAAAATTTGTTTCTAGAGAAATTGTCTCAGAGGAGGCAGACAATCTACTTCTTCATGTTGAGGAGATCTAGTTGTTCTTAAAAAGTTGTGAATATGAAGACAACATTGTTCCTTCTTGTTGAGGAAGTCTAATTTTCTGAAGATAACTTTGCCTTCGAAAACAACATTGCTCCTTCATTTTGAGGAGATCTAGTTGTTCTTACAAAATTGTGAATCTGAAGACAACATTGTTCCTTCTTGCTGAGGAAATCTAGTTTTCTGAAGATGATTTTGCTTTTGAAAATGACATTGCTCCTTAATTTTGAGGAGAGCTAATCTTTGCTCGGTGTCAAATCTAATGATGACATTTCTCCTTCTCGTTAAGGAGATCTAGTCATAATTGCCAATGATTCATTTCAGGATGTCAAATCTATGAACGACATTGTTCCTTCATGTTGAAAACGTCTAGTCATCACCAAACTTTTTCTAGAAAGATCTATATAAAGAGATGCATTTGGATGTTTTTATGGATGTCAAAATAAAGTTTATTTCATGTATTTATTTATGAATATATGAATACAATTAAATATGTCAAAATGTAATGCATTTTCCTATGAAAATAATGTTTGCAAAAATGTTGTTTTATTTTCTTTTTAGCTTCAAAGTGGAGAACTCGGTCTTCCTTCACTTAGACAATCTTAGCTAGAGCCTACTCCAACATTAGAGAGGAAACTTGTTAATTTAAGCAAGCGTTCTCTTTTTGAAAAAAAATCTGATCAGTTCGTGTCATTATGTCTTCTTTCTCCTCTTTTTATTTATTCATAAAAATCTCAGAAGAAATGATCTCTCTTTAATTCTTGTTATGGTCAGATACATGATCTTGACGCCTTTCGTCTTTAACCCAATTGTTCTATCAGAGCTGTTTCTTCAAGAATTTTTTGCCAATTGAAGC